CGGCACCTCCCGTGGCTGGCGGGGGGCAGGCAGGGGACCCAAACCCCACACCCACAAACAGCAACAACCTGCAGGGTGCCCAGCCCCCTGGGTGGCAGCACGGCAAGGCGGGGGCATCCGCCCTCCCAGGGAACGCACAGCCCTGCCTCAGCCACGGGCCCATGCTCCTCGGCCCTCAGCGCCAGCTCAGCACCGACGTGGCTGTTGGTGGTGCCAGAGCCCGAGAGCAGAGGTGCCCGGGGCTGCCAGCTGCCCCAGCCAGCTTGTGGGGGACGATCCCATGGGACTGCCCAGGGCCTGCGTTCAGGGTCAGACTTACTCTGGCACCACTTGCTTGATCTGTGGCTTCACGTATCCATCCACAGCTTTAGCTAGAGAAAAGATGGCAGCGCTAAGGCCCCGAGCTGCTGGCACGTGCCGCAAGCCTGCGGTGGGGCTGGGGGCTCATGCACGGCCAGCAGCAGAGCCCCCGCTGGGCTGGATGCAGCCCTGGGGCAGAGGGATGCTGTGAGCCCCAGCTCCACCCTGGTCAGATGCACGAAGGAGAGGGACGCACACAGGGTGAAGGGGCAGCGCTACCTGGCGTGGACTCACAGAGAACCGGCGTGTAGTACTTGGAGAAAACCTCATCCTTGGGCCGGTCGGGGAACACGTAGATGAGGTAACTGAGGTCCCCGAGGCGGTCAGCCAGGGAGCGGATGGAGAAGTCCCTGGTGGTGAAAGGCATCAGGTTCCAGAACATCCTCTCGGCTGGAAGACAAGAGTGAGGACCACGGTGATGCCCAGAGCCGGTGGCAGTTCCCGGCCCCACTCCGGCCACAGGCTGCGAGATCATGTCGAACATCAGACGGCATTTCCCACGCTGCATCCCTCCCCTGGCAACATTTAAGGACAAAACGCAGGTCGCCAGAAAACAGGATCAGCCAGGAGGCACAGTGAACTCAAGGCAGGTCTGTCCTCATCTGGGTACGTGGGAGGCAGGTCCCCCCTGGCCACAGGGGCTCCGCGGGGCTTTGTGGTGTTCCTCGGCCACGCGAGCCTCCGAAGGATGCTCTCACGAAGAACAGTAACGAGCAGACTTGCTGCACGGGGTCAGGCAACCCATGCAGACCCCTTGCACCAGGAGGCACCACGGAGTCACTGCGTTTTATACAGCCACAAGTAAGCCCCCGTGGTTGGCTCGGACGGTTTAGCCCAGTCCCTCCTCCCTGCCAGTGCCAGTGCTCGGGCTGGATGCGGCCACAGCTGCAGCGAGCAACCGCAGCACCGCTCCCCACAGGGCAGCCAAGGCACTCCCGCAGCCTCCTGCGCTCCCCCTTTCCCGAGGAAGGCTCCCGTGTGCCCAGCTGCGGCAGTGACAGTGCCGGTGCCCAGCCGAGACAGGAGGTGCCGGAGGCGCAGCACCAGCTGCACCGGCACAGGACGGCCGAGTCTCCGGCCGGGGCCCGGGACAGCGAGGACAGGGGCTGGC